ACAAAAATCGTATATGCTTTTGAGGGACTTGGTTTTTATTTTAACAGCGCTCTAAATCTGCCAATTTCATACTCGGTAATTTTATTTGCTTTACGCTTTCAGCTTGGTCATCTCGTAATTTTTTGAAGCCCTCAAATTTTTGCGTATCTAGTGTAGTTTTAGAGCGCCGCAATTGCCGCTTATTTTATAAATTCATTATAAAAGTTATTTCTAAAGTTGTTTGTACTATTTCTTGGAAATAATTCCGGTCTATTGTTGTATAACTCAATATTTTTTGTTTTTGTTTTCTTTAATTTATTTTTGAATAAATTAAACCAAAATTGATTTTTTGTTGTTCGGTTTTGTTTGACTTGGCTCTGGAGTTAAGTAAATTTTACACTTTCGCATCAGCCAATCGAAAATGATGCTTCTTAATATGGCCCAAAGATTATAAATTTTAATGTCGTAATGTTGCCGAAATGGTTTAATACATTTAAAACGTTCTAAGCAAAACCCTTGCACATTTACTCGTGTTTCTGCATTCGATCCATATATTAACGCATACATATGTATGTTGATGAAAAGAATAATTGGATGTTTTTTGTTTTGTATTTGTGTTCAGCTCCGAAATTGTAAATCGTAAATGGTAAATCGTAATTCGTAATCCGTAATCGATAAATGAATATTCATACATACTTATATACATAGTGTGTGCGTCTAAACACCTTCAAATGAATGCATATTCATAAACTAAATTTAATGTTCGTAAATTGTAAATTTTAAATTTTGCTAATTTTTGCTAGTTGGTTTTCTTCAAAATGTTTCGAAGTACGTTAAACTCACAACTCAATATTCTAAACTGAATAATGCAAATATTTGTTACTTTTCTTTTGTGTGTGTGTGTGTGTGAGAGTTGTGAAGTGGGGGAAAGAAGCACAAAAGGGACATTCGTATTTTTCTTTTTTAGTCTTTTAGTTTTGTATACGTCTCTTCTTTGTGAACTGCTTGCTTTTCACTGCTTGCCTCTATCTCCTATATTCGTATGCACATGCAAATATTCAATTTTTCCATTCTTTTTTTCAATGTTTATCATATTTGGTTTTTTTTTTTTGTTTATTTTCTTTTGTTTTTATTTTCTCGTATCGGTAGTTGAGTTAAGCTTAAATTTAGTTGCATTATAGCTTATTGCCGCCTCTTAAGTATGCCGTTCTTAGTACTCTTGCAATCGTTTAGCTTAATTTTCGATTTAAATATGTATGTATGTATTTTATTTCCACCTATGATCTAAACTAAATATAGTATAGTGTATTGTGTGTGCGTGTATGTGTGTGTGTGTTTGTGTGTGTCCGTGTGCGATAGAAAGTAATACATTCATTAATGAGCAACTCAGCGCTATATGTTAGGTATATGCTTCGTAAGTAGTCAATGTATATCCAAACCTTTTCGTTTCTAAATTCTAAATCATTTATTTCATACATAATATTGACTTTTTTTGTGTTTCCATTTTTGTTTACAAACTATAACTAAATATACGTTTATGTATGTATATCGCTTAATTAGGTAGTCAATGGACAACTTTGCTAGCTGGGTTTCGGGGTATGGGGATAACTTAAGATTTGCGCTTTATTATCCTTGATAAAATTTTGTTGGCAAACTTAGAATACGCGTAGGTGATCGTAATACCGAGAGACAGTGTGGCCAGGCCAAATATGTTGAGCAGTTTTGGTATTTGCTTGATTGCTGGTCTATTTGGAGCCTTTTTTCATATTTTTTGCTTAGATTTTTAAATTTGTTATATCTTTTTACAATTTTTAATTTTTATACAATTTTATTAATAATTTCATTTTGTTTTTGTTGATTCATTCCTTTTTTAGTTACATAAAAAATTAACAGATTTTTTTTTTGTTTTTGGTTTTTACTTTTTTTGTTACATGAAGGCACTTTAGATCGGACGTTGTGGCCCCATATCAAAATTTGCTTTTAACTTTTGCTTTACTCGTTTATCACTTTGGTTTCTGTTCTTGTTCTTTTTGTGCTTGGTGCGTGGTGTGCGTGGAGACGTAGTCGCAAAATAACAAATTAACAACAAAAGCGTAAGTAATCGAAAGTTGTTCGAAACTCGCCGAAAGATTCTTGTTCGAAATGTTGCCGAAATTCCTTGATTCGAAACTTGTCTTTGCCTTGTCTTTTGCTCTGCTTTTGCATCTGCATCTACTCTATATTTCTTCTTTTGCCTGTATGGTAAACCATTTATATTTGAATTTGTATTGCCTTCAGTGCTATTGGTTGCAAAACGGTCTTGGATGGATCCAGAATATGCAGGCAGTCCAACCCCTTTCGGTTCCTGTTCGGGCTACTGCCATGCAGTTTGGTTTTATTTCAGGCTTGAGAACTGCCAACGCTTTGGCCTGGTCCAAAAATCATTTTCTCTGCTTGTCGTCTCTTTTATTTTGCATTGGATTGTGGATATAAGTGACAAAAATATCATACTCATTTGTTTTAAATTGGTATTGCCATGCTGTAACGGAAATAACTAAGTAAATTGCCGATGAAAAATCTATGCCAACTAATAACCGGTTTGTCCAAACGATCTATAATTTGTACAAGGAAATTGAGCGCAAATCTTAGGTCATCGCAAAGTTAGTCAACACAAAAGAGCGAGAGTCGGGTACACATTTTTATATATTCATTGATATATATATATTACATATGTTTGGTGGATATACATTATTAGAACTAATTATTAGGGACTGAATTTCGATTTTATAATTTTCTTGTCTACAATTTTTACATACACTTCTTAATTTCTTTTATATTAATTTTTGCCTCACCAACATCTAACTTAAGTACTGTCCATGTCTTTATTTTCTTTATGTTTTTTATACACCTAAACATTTACAAAGGGTTCAATAACACAAAATCTTAAGCATTTTTTTTATGATTTCTTTTTTTTTTTTTTGTTATTTTTTTTTCGTTTTGTTTTATTTGGGCATAATAAAGTAGAGAAAACCTTTCCTGTTTTTGTGGTTCTGGGGTTTGTTTTGCAAATTTTTTTTTGCTGCCGTTCTTCAGAGCTTCAAACCGTATGTTTTTCAGTTCGTAATTTTGTTGAATTTATTTGCATTTTTGAATTTTGAAATCTGCAACGTCTTTTGACGACGATTTTGAATTTTGCTGTTTTCTTTAATTATTATTTTTGTTGTATTTTGTATTTTTTTCAATTTTGTTTGCTGTTCCTGTTATGCTCAAAAACATTTTTGGGCTGTTTATGCCCAAATCTGCTTTGGCCATGAATTGTTTGACTTGTCTTGTTTTTATATAATTTAAGGCAGATTTTCCACAAAATCAAAATGGGCTTGAAACAGAAATAAGAATTTGCTTTTATGCGTTTTTTGATATCAGACTTAAATTAATTCATGCAATAACTACCAGGAGATGTATCGAAAGTTGCGTTTTCTTGTTTGCTATATAAAATTTACACAGTTTTTTGTTTTTTTTTTGTTTCCTTTTTTTTTAAATGTATTTAAATATAAGTTTATGTCGTTAAGGTTGCGTTTGCTTTTTTTATTTATGTTCTTAAAGATAAGGCGCGAAGGTGCTTAAAATAAGCTTGTACTTTTTTCTTGATATTTTTCCAACACGTTTTCAAAATTGATATCAATTTTTTGTTGTTTGTTTTTAGCCTTGAGCAGAGTGTGAATCCTGCATGTTCACGTGTTTCCCATTTTTTTGACTCCGTCTGCTAGTTTACTTACGATTTAAATTTTGCTTTACGAAATTTTGTTTTCCAAAATTTTGTAATTTTGCATATAATTTTTGGATTTTGAGTTCTTTTTTTTCCCATTTTTTCCTAAAGTCTAAACAATTTTTATTTTTAGTTTTTGTTTTTGTTTTTTTTTTTTTTTTTTTTTGTAAATTTGTTGTCCTGAACTTTACACCGAGAGAGAATTATCCAAACATGGCCGAGAGTTTTCAATTTTGTTCGTTTGTTTTTATATTATCATTTTTTGTTTTTTGTTGTCATCATTTTTTGGGGTTTTAACGCGTTATTCATTGTTGTTGTTGTTGTTGTTGTCGTTGAAAAGTACAATTTTTTTTGTTTAAGTTATAAGAGAAATAATCGTAAAACATAATTATTATCGTAAACTAACAATTTTTTTTGAATTAAAATGCTGCCTGTAAACTATTTTATTTATTTTTTTTTATCATTGTTTGCAAGTGTTGCCAACGCTTGCCAAATACGAGTGTTCTCTTGTCACCCATTTTTTTTTGTTTGCTAGACATTTTTATTTTGATATTCCAAAATGCTAAATGCTGAATTTTCGTGTGTCCAAAATTGTTTATTTTTGTATTACCTTGTTATATATACGTATATATGCATACATACATATATAGGTATGTATATATAGGAACATTACCGAAATATTTTTATATTTATAATTTTACACTTATACCTAAAACTTTATTGTTTAATTTTTTTTCTGGCTTGGAAAACCCGTGTTTGGCAGGCGGTCGAAACACTTGCAGCGCGTATTTTGTCATTTGTCATTTTAGAGTTTTTTTGCGTCTTCTGTTGTTCCGAAAGGTACGCCAAAGTCTATGCCGAGAGTTATGTTCCAGAGGAACATTTTTTTATTTTTAGTTTGCATTTCTGCATTACCGCCGAAATTCGTCTTGCTTTTTTTTTTTTTTTTGTCTTCTGTTACTGTCTAAGCCGAAATATTCTTGCTCGAAACTGTTTCCTAGAAGAGATTCATCTAATGCGATACCACTTGAGCATGTTGCCGAAAAGCTCCTTCCATCGAAATTGTGCGCTGTTATGCTGGAGAAAATTGAATCCCACAATTTAGATTCCGTTATATCGTGAATACTCATTGATTTTTCGAAGTATTTGTTTTTTGAATTATGCGTCAACAAGCATGCTATATGAAAGTAGTTGAAATTGCCGCGGAATTGAAATCCGGCACATATATACATATATAATAATTTCTACAATATTACGTGTATACCCGTTTAAAGTATGCTTTTAATTGAAATTTTTCAGTGTCGAGACATTGGTTTTGTTTGCTGGGCATGGGTTTTGTTGTATAGTGTAAGTTGCTGTTAAATCATAGGTTAGCTAATTGATAACTGATTGGCGTCTAAGTAGTTCTAGTTCTAGTTCTTAGCGGTTGTTATTGTTGTTAATTGAACGGCATATGGTTGTTGTTGTTGTTCTTCTTCTTCTTCTTCTTCTTCTTCTTGTTGCTGCTTTGCTGTTGTGTAGTTGTTGTTGTTGGCTGGCGAAAATTTCTATTATTTTTGTTTGTTTGTAGTTAGTTAATTAGTTAGTCGGTTTGGGAACTATGTAAGTTATGTCCTATATGCGAATTGCTTTGTGTCCATTTGCTTAGTTAATTGCAAAAAATAAATTAATTACGATTGCTAAACTATGAGTAGAAATTTATGTTTGATTTTGGTTTTGGTTTTGCTTTTGTTTTTGTTTCTTTATAATTATGTAATTTATTTAAGTACGCTTAGTTTTCATACCTATGCTGACATTGACTTTTGTTTTTTTTTTTCTTTGACTGCATTGTGTGTGTGTACGTGTGTGTGTGTGTGTGGCTATAGTGTTGCTGTATGTGCATAAAATTAAACCTAAAGGCGGCGCCTCTCCGATTTGACTGATTTGAGTTCTTTTCCATTTTTTCTTGATTATACGTGTAAGTAAAAAAGGATATAAATATCATACGTATTTTTGTATTGAGTTTTTGTTTTATGGATTGGAACATTTCTGTTTTTGACTGTTGCTGTTGTTGTTGTTGTTGCTGTTTTGCTATTTTTTCTGTTGTTGCGGTTTTTTGGGTCTGCTTGGTTTCTGGTTCCTGCTCAACATTTATTGCATACTGTGCTGCATATTTAATGATAGTTTTTTCGTTTTGTTTATTTGTTGTAATACATATTTAAAATAGCAACTACCTTTATTATTATTTTGTCTGTTTTTTTTTTTTCGATTTACTTCATCTTATATAGTTAATAAGTTATATATATTTATAGGGCATGTGGAATGATGCATATATGGGGGATACGTGTGTTTGTGTAAGGGGGTTGGGCATTTGGTTTGTAGACAGATTCTGGGCAAAAGGCGGTCTTAAAACACTCGCTTATATATGCTAGAAAAAATTGAGCGCAAATAAATTCTTTATCCGTTATTGTGTGTTGCATATCATTTGAATTGGTTGTTTCTGGTGTATTTCATTCAGTGTACATTTAGAGCATTAGTTAGCTATGCTGGAATACGGTTTATGACGTCTAGAGTATGCATTTTATGTACATATATATTTAAATATATGTATACACATTTGTATACATATTCATGTATATAGTTACTTATATCAATAATATTACCGGCACTATTGTTCAGAACTGAAAGACATTTTTTTTGAAAGCTCGCAAAATCATAGCAAAATGTACCTAAACTTGTTGTTGTTGTATGAACAAAATATATATATATATATATATGTATATAGGTATATATATCCATCTATACTTAGTTAAAAGATTATAACTCATATAACAGATTGGAAAATTGTTTTTTTAAAGTTACTATTTATGGTTTCTGTTTGTTTTTGATATTGGTTTTGTTTTTTTTTTAGTCAAGTTTTGAGGCTTGAATTGTTTTTGTTACTGCTTTGAGCTCTTAATTCATGACTCATCTTTCTTGCTCTTGCTGTTCTTCTACTTCACTCTTCACTCCTACTAAAACTAAATATAATCTTTGTATGAACCGTTAACTAAATAAACAGCATTTTGCAGCTGTTCTTGTTGTTGTTGTATTTAATGAACTTAAACATTTGTTAACTGAAAACTGGTTGAAAACTGTGGCAACGCTCTGTTGAGACCGCCGCCATTTTGGTTTTGTCTATTTCACTATTTGTAACTTAAACGGTAAATTGTTTCTGTGAAAGGCAACTGTTGCGCAAGTAGCTGCAGCCTGCTCCTCGACGGGGGGTTGGAGGGGGGACTGTCTGCTAGGCTGCGGCTCTCGCTCGGTTTCTTTGTCGTTTGCTATATTTAGAGATTGTTTTTTGTATATGCTATTGTAAAAAATATTATTATAAATATTTTTTTTTGTTTTTCGTTTTGTTTCACTTACGTTTTAATATTGACTTACATTTTGTTTACAAGGTTGCGCTTGTTGTTCTTTGTTCTTTAGTGGATGTTCTCGATTTTGATTTGTTTCGCTATTGCAATAAATACTAGAGATTTTTGGTTTTGGCTTTCTTATTACTTGTTTTTAGCGGTTTCTTGTAAACTTATATTATTATAAAATATCTGATCACATTTGTTTGCAGTCTCTGTATAAATATTGTTTGCTTTTAATTGTTTTTTTTTTTGTGTTTATCATTTATTTGTTTTCTTTTTGTATATTATTTTATTTTTTATACATATTTTACACACGCACAAGGGGGCGTGTCACCTACATACGTCTTGTGTCGGTTTCGCTTTTATGAAAAGTAAAAGCGAAAAAACAACAAAACTGAGATTCAACTAAAATTAGGAAACTGAAAATCAATAATCTATCATATACATATATATATCATTTGATAAAATTGCGTTTTTCGTTTGCTCCTACAGTTTTTACAAAAAATATTTGTAGAATTTTGACAAACGCCTGAGGCGATTTCTGACAAGCGGCGCTCTATTTTGGGTTTATCTATATGTTTTTGTTGTATCTATATTTCGTATAGATTCAAATTAGTTTGACGGCTGTTCGCGTAGCGGGGCAACAGAATATATTTTCAACATTATCGTCAATTATCTGTGCGATTCATGGTGCCAATATTTGTTTTTGATTTGGTTGTACTTCTGTTTTTACGGCTGGTTGGCGCCACTTTAATTCTCGGGGAATTACAAAGATGGCGCCCATTGGAAAAATAAGAATAATATTGCTGGGCTATTGTCTGTGGCTCGTTGAGGCGCACATTTTTGCTCGAATTGCTTGATCAATTTATCGCTTGTTTATTGTTGCTATTTTGTATTGCTGTCTGCGTGAGTGTGTGAGAGAGTAAACCAAAGGAGCTTGCAGTTATTTTCTGTTGCATACGCGCAGGCGCAGTCGCCGCAATCGTCCTTGTCAGAAATTGGATCAGTTTAACGCACGCAATGCTTGTGATTCATATCAATTGATTGATTGTGAGTTTTTCGTAAGAGAATTGTGAAACAAAAGGTTTTATTTGTTGTTTTGTTTTTATCACTTATTTTGTTGTCTATTCTTGCTGCTGCTGCGAATTTCGCTTAGGTTGGTGGCAAGAGGCATGCCACGCTATCATACAATGTCAGAGTTTTGTTGTTGCAAGCACACGGGCTGGGCGAATATTTCTTTATTTGTTTGTATTTTTTTTATTTGTAGCAGGCAGGCATTTTAGGGTCATATTCCAGTCTCTCCGTCTTCGAGTCTTCGACACATTTGGCTTTCTTCTGGATTCTATTGTTAATTTCGTATATGGCATGTGCTTGCATCGTCTCTCCTCAATTGTATTTCGTGGCAAATTGTTTCACTCTTTTCCGCTCATATCATGCCTAAAAGCAGCTGGCAGTTTTCTGCTCTGTTTTCTTGTTTTTCTTTTTTTCTTTTAAACTTAAAACATAAATGTTGCTGTAGTTAAATTGTGAACAAAAAATGTTTGAATTGTCAACTAAAAGTTTTGGCTTATTATGCTAATTGGCTATTGTTGTTGTTGTGGTTAATTCATAATCGATCTTTTGTTTTTGTTTTTGTTTTGTTTATTATTTTTTTATAAAAATATAAATAGTTTTATAAAAATTTATTGGTATGTATTTGTTGTTTGTTTGTTTGTTTTTTGTTTTGTTGTTGCATTGTACTATAAATTATCCCGGTACGCGCGGTTGGCACGTTTTGACTATTGCAAATGAAACTGTGGCATAAAATTCGTTTAGACATTTGGTTTAGTCATTGAAAATTCAACTATATAAACACTTATAATATTTATAGATTTTTTATATATGTTATTTGTTATACTGGGTAAATATCATGTTTTAAATTTGAACTAAGGATGGCTTAAAGACTGAACAGAAAAACATGTTACGTTATGGTTGGGTTCTTTGTTTTGGTTTTTGATATGTGTAGACAACCCAAAAAAAGTTGCTGTTGGAAGTGCTGTGTGTGCATGTTGTTGCTATTATTATAATTATTGTTAATATTATAATAATATTTGGTTGTTCTTGTTCGTTTGTATTGTCACATTGAACTGGGCTTGTTACATTGTTTTTTTGTTGTTGTTTTTGTTTTTGTTTTTTTTTTTATTTTGCTGTATATGCGTTTCAGTAAAAATAAATGAGAGATTAACTCAAAAATATCACATACGAGTTGTGTATGTTTCCCTGGCTATTGTTGGCTGTTAAAACTAAATTGTTCAATACTTAGTTATCAATTTGTTGTTAGTTATTTATTTGTTAATATTATTATGGTAAATGTTATGCAACTTTTTTTATATTTTGATTTTTTGCTTCACAAACATGTGCAGCATGTGTGTGTGTGTGTATGTGTATGTGTATGTGTATGTGCGTGAGTGTGTTTTGTGTGTATAATATATATATATCAATCGAATTTTGAATTTTAACTTTGTTGTTATTTTTACTCTTTTATATCATAAGCCAAAATCTTTTCATAAACTTGAGAACTAAGGATGCTTAAAATTGTTGCTTTATATTTGTTCGGTAATTGGAAAAATTTCATTTATTTGAACTTAATCCGTTTGTGTGCAGCACAGTGTGCGCCAAAAGTATTGCACTGGCTGTGCTGCTCTATTGCAGTTGTGAACTAAAAAATCGGCGCATCCATTACGATGCGCTCAAAAATTGGTATTCTCTGATACTCTTCGCCAGATAAGTGATAAAAATTTACATTGTTCTCAAAACTTTTTGTTGTTGTATTTCTTTTTTAATATATATAATTTTTCATTTTCGGTCAAAAGTGTTTAAAAATTTTGTGAATCGCGTTTGCTACTAAAAAAACGCAATAATTTTAAGTATTCGTTTTCGTTTTTTTGTTTTGGTTTTTGGTTTTTGGATTTTGATTTTATTTCGTTTTGGTTTTATTTCTTTTTTTTTTGTTGTTTCTTTTAACCTAAACTGCAAATTTGTGTGCTCATTTTCATTATATTTTTTTGTGATCAGATGTTTTCCAAAACAAGGATGTTTAACTAACTTACCTAAATAGAAGCAGATATCATTATTATGATTTGAAATTTCATTTTGCCTTTTTTGCCAAAATCATTGTGTTATTTGATATACATATATGTCCTGTATTAGATACATTTGTATCTGTAACTTGATGTATGTATCTGTTGGTTTGTTTTGGCACATGTTCTCGAAAGTAAAAAAAAATCTTCATTTGCGCGCACTTTCAATGCAGTAAAGCTCTGTGTATAAGGATTGCCTTTGCCCATGGCTGACTTTAGTTTTTGCGTTGGTTAGTTGGGTGCTTGGGGGCTGACATAGGGAGTAGGGTTTATTATGCTGTTTAGGTTTAGCTTTAGGTTTGTTTTGCTTATGCTTAAACTGTAGTAATATTTAATTACGTGTATGTAGTTGTATTTAAATGTGATTTTTATGTACAAATTTGACCAATTGTTCTCATTTAAATCTTTTCTTCATTCAGAGTATGCGGTATTCAGTATTTTGTTATTTTGTTATTTTGCTGTAATAATGCTTTAAATTCTAGTTAAAATTGCATATGGCTGCATCTGCATTTATATTTGTTATTTGGTTTACGTGTAGTATATATTTTGGTTTTTGCTTTTTAGATTACGTGTTGTTTTTGGTTTTTTATTATGCATTAAGTTTAATTTGCTGTGCTTATGCTCACATTCAGTTAATCAGTAAATGAAATTCTTTCGCTTTGGTTTCCGGTCTGTGAATGTGCTGCTTTGCAGCACTGTAGCGCTGCCGCATAGTGCGTTTACCAGCACTGCGCGTACAGCTTATTCTTATTATTTTTGTGGTTTTGTTTATTTGTTTACCTGGTTTACCTCTTTCTGGTTGGCTGTTTTGGTTGCCGCCGCATGGTTGCGATCACTGCATTTTGTAGTTTGTTGTCGGATGTTGCTGGTTTGGATGGCTGGCTGTCTGGTTTGCTTGCTTTGAAGTTTTAGTTGCTTATGCTATGTCCTGGCCTCTCCCTTTACTTAGGGTGTAAACTGTACTTTGGCTGTATTTGTACTATAATTTCGATGGGTTCACAAAAGCAGTTACATATTTTGTAGTATAAATGATTCAAACTGTTCTCTAGGCTATGGCGTTCGATTTAAATATTTTGGAATTTATCAACACCAAAATCTCGTTCATATGGACGCATGTGTGGGAAAACAAAACGCAATTTCAGCGCCTCAAAAGTTTATTGCCAAAGAGTTATGAATATAGTTTAATGACTGCCGCTGCTTTTGTGAATCCCGGTCTTGAGCTGCGATAATAATTTGTTTTATGAAATTGATTCGCTTACCGTTAGTTGTTGTGCATGTGATTTAGGTTTGAGTTTATAGTGTTGTAGTGTTGGTGAAGGCCAATCATTTCCGTTGATATCAAAATTGTTCTCTGATTAATGCCAAAAGTTGTAATATAGTTTTTGTAATTAAAATAAAGTAACATAAAAAATGTTGACAAAAAAGAAACAATGCCAAAGTTTGGAAGGAATTTTGTAAAGAAAAAGCAATCTTCGTTTTGTTTGTTTTTTTTTTTTTGTGTTTTTTTCTCAATGAATTTTGTTTATTAACCAATTATTAATATGCCTTTTTTGTTTTGTTTTTGTTCACTTATAGTATAATTATGTATGTAAGTATAAATGTATGAAATATGTACGTATGTATGTCAATTTATATAGTATATGTAGTTGTATGTATGTATTGTATTTGTTGTTCTTCTTATTGGTACGCAAGTATGTTAAATAGGCTGATTCAAATTTTTCAAACTTTTCAATTTCTTATTTTATCTCATATTAAATATCGTCAATAAAATGAGCTATGACAATCTGTTTTTGTGCTTTTTAATGGTGTGTTCTTAGAAAACCTACACAAGTAAATAAATTGACAAACTAAAAACAAAACAGAACTTTAATTTTTGCAAAAATTTGTTTTAATTTTGACGGATCATTGGCGAGTTTTTTGGCTTTTCCGTTTGTTTTGGTTTTCATTTCCATGTTAAAAATCGTGAATTTCGACTTGCTTAATTTATAAAATTTTGCCTAAAGTTTTTTTTGTTTAGCCGAAAGTTTTGTAGCTTTTGTTTATTGTTAATACGCCTTAAATTGCCTAAAGGTTTTCTTTTAAATATTCTTTTCAATTTCGTTTAGATTAATCTCTTTCAATTAACTATTTTTACAATCAATAATTTTGTATGGCGGCTCGTGTGGTCAGTGTGGGTGACCACCGCCCCCACGTAGCCACCATATTGGCATATACCAAAACAATAATGCTGTTTTATGTTTCATTCGTTTTTTGTTTTTTTTTTTTGCATTTTTCTTTTTTGTCTTATCACAAAATCAGTTACAATTGTATTTAAATAAATTTTTAGTCAACTTCAGGGCCAAAAGTATTTCTTTTAGTATCGTTTTCGCTTAATAAATTTTGTAAAGGCATTAACAATCAACGAGCTTTCAATTTTGAGTTTTTCAATTTCGATTTGTGTTTGTTGCAAGTGTGCGAAATGAAATGAGAACCTCGAGAAAACAATTGAAAAGAAATAAAAATCAAATTAGATATTTTCTTTTGCCAATATAAACAAGTTATGTTTGTACGCTTTGTTAATCTAATTATGAATTTTTCAATTTTCTTTTTATCCGTTTTTTTTTAAGAAATTTTAATTTTAATTTCGATATCAATTAATATATTCCCAAAAGTTTTATTAATTTTTTATTTTTTGCATTAGATTAGGAAACTCACCGTTTATACTTTGTTTAATTTTGTGATAATTACGCCGAATTGCATAAAATTTTGTTTAGTTTACCATTATTCAATGGGTTTAGGCCTAAAAGTTGTTAGTTCGATTCAATTTCGCTTTAGCTAAAATTCGACTATTGTAAAAATTTTGCTTAATCCATTGGGTTGCCAAAAGTTGTTGCATTATGTTGTTGAACATATCAGCTAAGTATGTTCTATATAAAGCGGTGTTCTTCCCGACTCTAATCCCTTATTTGCAGCCAATAAAATAGAGCTAGGGGGCGTTAGGGGTGGGGGAGTCGGCTGAAGCCGGCTTATGAGCTCCTCAAAGCACATGATGGGCCGAAATTTGTGTGTTTCGAATGGTTGCCGCAAAGTTGTTGAGGAATATTTCTTTTATATTTTTCAAGTTCAATATTTTCGCGATGTTTTTATGTGTTTGCATGCTTTGATGAATGTTATTTTGTTGTTGTTGTTGTTATTATTGGGGTGCTGCAATTGGTGTAGTGCAGCACCCGTTTGCCTGCCCCAAACGATCAGAGCAGGCAAACATATCCCTCTTAACCCGCCCACTTTCCATGCTTGGTGTGAAATGAAAGTGCATAATGAGGCACACAGCCGGCGGCTCATATATTCAAAACGATAAAACGTGGGATCGATAACATAAGTATAAGAAAACAAACTCAAATTTTTTGATTATAATGTGGTTTTCTTGTTTTGTGTATATATTTGGTTTTTGTATATATTTGTTGCAACTTAAGGCCAAGTAAATTAAACTAAACATAAACTTAAATCGAATGCTATTCAACTAAACGTATATGTACATAAATAACAGACTAGTGTGTGTGTTTGTGTTTGTGTGTTTGTTGGTTTTTAAAAAATTAATATGCGTGCACAATTGGGTGCATTCAAAAATTTTTATATAAAGATGGGACATGGTTTAAAATAAAAATCGCATTTGAATTCGCATTCGCATTAGCTGATTAACAATAAACTTTGGTCGTATTTTTTTTTGCATAACACTAAATAAATTTAACTACCCTAACGCCCGCTGCTAATACAAATTATTATTAATTTTTTTCTTTTAAAATACTACTCGCAAAATTTTTATGTTTTTCTTGATTAACTTTTTTTTTTGGTTTTTTTTTGCTTTTTTGATAGACATTGAATTGTGCTTAATGTTAAAAGGAAATAAGCAACCTGAACTTGGTTAATTTAGTTTATGTTCTTCGACAGAATTGCATAACACTTTTTTAAAGCTTGTGCAACACTGCCGCCTAAAAGACGTACAGAAAAGTTTGTCTGCAATTGGATCATTTACAGCTCCAGCTGCAAAGAACTTTTCAATCGGCTGAAAAAACACACTTTAAATTCCTACGAAAACTGTACCGAAGTGTAAAAGTGTGTGTGTATGTGTTTGTTTGTGATTAGATTGTGTCTTTGGAATGTGTGTCAACTTTCGGTAGATTAATAGATTGCTCAACTATGTATGTATTTGTAATATAAACGTATAGTAAAAATATTTTTTAAAAAATTTCAACTAGTAACCCCAACGGTCAGAGTACAGTTTACCCTCTGTATAGATACAATTGTAGTGTATGTGTTTGTGTGTGTGTGTGTGTGTGTGTATGTGTGAGTGTGAGAGTGCTGGTGTCTTTACCGGCTCAGGTTTTAAATTTGCACTATATTTCTTGTTCTTTTTCTTTTTCTTTTTCAACATTTGGTAGATGATCAAAAGCGCTGCATACTTTTAAGCGCTCACGTTTTAAGCTGAGGCATGTTCATATATATTGTGTGTGTGTAAGTGTGTTTTTATTTGATTTTGCTGTTGCATCAAACCTAATGCGACTTGCGCCTATTATTGTGTATTTTGTTGCTTTTGTTTAGCTCCAGGGAGCGAAGACGGCATTTTGCGAAATTTTTAAAAAAATATTTTACGGCTCTACAGAAATATTTTACGATTGCAATTTGATTTCTTTCTTGTGGTTGTGGTTATTCTATTCATTTTCGACGAGAGGCCACAAAATTAAAAGAAAAATATATACGAAGAATACCTAAGAAAAGTGTTGCCTCTTTAGTGTGAGTGTGTACATAATACATATGCTATGTATGCATTATATCCAGTTGTATTTCTTACGTAGATTTAACTTTTTAACTTTTGTTTTCGCTTCGCTTTCGGCATTGCTGTTGTTGCAGTTGTTGTTGTGGTAGTCGTAGCAGGGTTCGTAGGTTGATTCAGGGGTGGTGGCATCGTTGGCATAGCCAACTCCTCCACTTATTCCAGTTGCTCTAAAAAATTCGGCGACTTGAAGTATTCGGGCACGGGATCGTCCATGCGTGAGATTATTTTGTATATGGATTTCTTCCACGATTGCTCGGTGTCTTTGCCACCCTGTATTGCACGGAAAAATTCACGCAGTGTCTGTTCGACCACAAAGCGAAAATTTTGGGGTACCTGTGGGCGTGGGCGGAGTCGAAGGCGAAGACGATAACATTAGCAAAAAGGTCACGGCAGAGAAAGATCGTTGTGTTAATGTGTTGCGTGTTTGTGTGTATGTGTATGAGAGTGAGTGGGAGTATGAGTGTGTGAGTGTGCTATAGTCCATAGCAACACACACACTCTCACACTCGCACACAGCGCTCTGTTAATGTGTATGTTAATGTGAATGTTGTTAACAAAGCTGTAATTACTTTATTACCTTAAAGTTGCAATAACTTTGGTAATTACAAGAAAATATGAATATGCTCGAAAGAAATTGTAATTGAGAAGTGAATTCTTTTTTTAAGTTCTAAGTTTCTTGTTATTAAAGGTATTTACAGCTCTGCTTGTTAGTGTGTTTTTGTTGCATACCTCAATGTGATTATTGCGATTGTAGTGCAAATTGAGCACGCGATATAATTCACTATCTCCAGCAATCAACAGATCATCGGGTGTCTTGATGCCTTCAGTGACAGCTTGTCGTGCATATTTCTCCATTTGTATGTAGTAGAATTCTCTGCAGATGCGTAGATGAGGAATATGTTTGGATTTGGTCAGTATACTAGTTAGCTATGCTTTGATTTGTTTTTAATTTTTTTTTTTTTAAATTTTTTTAGTATTTTGGACAGCATTCAAATTTACGAAATCAAGGTAAAACATACATAAATCATAAAAGAGATAATTATAATAAACAAAAACTAAATAATAAAACACAAATAGTCAAGTAAATGAAATACATATAATTGGAATAAAACTGAACTCGAATTGAAAATTAAAAAGTAGTCTCATGCATACACCCCGAAAAAGGAAGTTTCCAACTCGCCCTCACAGGGCGCCTGTCTGTCTCTCTGTTGCCTCAAAGCCTAACTCAGACTGCCTTTGCTCTCGACTCTATGGGCTTAATGCATTATATTGGATCGACTTTGCAATATGACATTATTAATAAATTTGCTGCATACTCTTAGGCGCACCACGATTTTCTACCCTAAAAGCCTCGACTTTGTCTCTGTGTCTGTGTATATGTGTGGGTGTGATTTTTGAGCTTCTTTGTTGTAAAGAATTTTTAATAAATCTCAAATGTGCAACGACAGCGTTGAGGGGTGCTGCAGCAATACATATATATGTATATTTATATATGTATATGTATATCCTGGCGCCCCGATGTGGACAATAACAATTGCAAGTCAACGTGCAGCGTCTTCTGGCTGCGGTTTCGCTTCCCCCTTTGGGCCGCCTGTCGCCTGCCAATTGCCTAGTGGTTGGGGACTTAATTAGCAAGTGCAGCCGGTGGCTCAGTGGTGCCTCTCAGTGGTGCCTTCTCGTGTTGGCTGCTGTGTCGCCGCCTTGTTTAGTCAAGTGATTTGTGTCTGCCATGGAGCAGCAGGGCAGTGACGGGGCGTGGGCCTTGGGTGTGTGTATGTAAGTGATTGCTTGTCTTTTTCTAATGAACAGTCCACCCCCAACCCACTCACGTTGTCTGTAAGCTGCAATTGTTGCTGCCCGCCCACTTTGACAACGCTCCGATAATCGCGCTAATTTCAAGATTTCCCAGCAGCTGCATAATATTGCTCGTGTTGATTTTTTCCAAACAATAAGCGCGCTTTGCGCAAATAGAACTGATTCGCGGTGGCACGTAGCTAAATCTTTGCTAGAGTCTCATCGCGAATGGGAACGAGGCCTGTCAAGCTGCGAGGAGCTCCCCGGAGGCGGCTGCCACGCGCACTTGAACAGCAACTGCGGCGGGCCTTCCCTACAATGGGCAGTCCACATAATGAGCGGAGGAGGGGTGGGAGTGAGGCCCAGCCACAAGAAGCCAACAGTACAAATTGTGACAGATTGTTTGTGTGTGTGTGTGTGAGTGTTTGTGGGTGCCTTTGTTAAGGCTTGCAACAATATCTGGAAATGTGGCAGGGGCTTTGCGCTTTGTGGTCTATAGTTATTAGGCGTTTGGCAACAATGCAGTTGCCTACTTGTAGGCGTGTGTGAAAAGCACAATATTTTGTGTGTACGTGTGTGCGTGTGTGTGTGTGTGTGTGTGTGTTAATGCAATTAGCTTTGGGTTTTGCCTGTTGTTGCCGTTTCGCTTGAGGCAGGCTTTCAAATGCCGCATCAAGTGTTGCGGCTTGGTTGGGCTGGGCTGGGCTTGGTTGGGTTTGTGGGGGCGGGGGCCAGGAAAAGGAAGTTTAGCTAACTGCCTGCCATAAGTGTGCACCACTTAATTTAGATAATACGCTGCTAAACACACACACTCGCACGCTCGCACACACACAAACTGGCGTCAACGGATGTGCACTCGCTGCTCTAACTAATTAGTTTATATATTTTTCGTAGCCTATTTACAATTCATTATTTTGTATGCTGCATTTTTCGGGGCGTGGCATGGGCGTGGCCACGAGTGCGGCAGCTGCTGCTCCTTCTTCTGCCCATTTGCATGCATGCAAACGTGCACACACTACTGACTGTTTGAGTGTGGTTCCTGTTTGTGTGTGTGTGTGTGCGTGTATGTGTGTGTGTGTCAAGTCTGCTTCTTTGCTACTTCTTTGCTTTCTTCAGAAGTGCCATTCACTTATGTTATGAATAGAAAGTAAAGTACATTAATAAGCTCACACATACTCACCCACACATATGCAGACATCTCTACCTCATACATTAATGAAGTAATTGGCAACACTTTATATATATATATACATATAGATATGTAAGCATCGTTATATATATACTGAAATATGTGTGTGTTTGTGTGTGTGTGTTTTTTTTTATATACGTATCATGTGTGCTGTTGTTGTTGCTGTTCATTTCATGATATTTTCCATTTTTTTTATTAATTCAGCAAGATCTTTTCACGCGGCTGGCTGGCTGGCATGGGCGGGTACAGAGGGGCGGGTGGTGGGGAGTACTCTAAGGACACTTAACCTCAAAAATGCTCGATGAAAAACACAACAAAAAAAAACAAACAAAACAAAAAATAGGCAAAAGCAAACACAAAAAAACACAGCGCATAGGTAGAAAGTCATGTGTGTGTGGAGAGTGTGTGTGTGAGTTCCTTGCATATCCTTGAGCGCCTTTTACCAGCTAAGCGGGGCAGCAAGGGGACTGCCATTATGCGCATCTCGCCAGGCGCGACTCTCAAGTAGGTGCCCCAAACAAAACCAAAAGAAAGGAGCTGCACTTGCGCCTAACTGGCAGCCAGAGTCAAACAAACTAATTAGGCTGGTACCCACTGTGTGTGTGTATGTGCTGGCAGGACATGCATGGTACTTTGGCTGCTTTCTTTTCAGTATTTGCATTTGCCATAAGAGCTGAGGCAGATAATGCAATTATATAAGTGCCATACAAATACAAAAGGCACTTGGGCTAATTAGCCAACACAAAGGACAAAGAGTGGCAAGAAATGGCTACACTCAACTCCAGCACCAGCACCAGTCACAGTCCTAGCCCCAGCCCCAGCCCCAGCTCGAGGCCGCCTTTATTTTTAATAAGCAGCAGTTACTGCCACATTCTTTCACACTTCAAATATGCGGAAAAGCAGCATGGACCAGGACTCAATGTTGCAGGGGCAGAGGTAGATACTTTGCATTTTCTTAAGTGGCCACAACAAGCGGCATGCAACATGTTATTAGGCGTATAATGTGTGTGCGAGAGTGTGGGTAAAATTCATAATGTTCAACTTTGACGAGTACATTTGAGTAAGTGCTAGTTTCCTTTACTTGCATGTAGAAAAAAAAAGGAAATACAACTGAAAATGCAACAAAACTACATGAGATACAAATACAAAAAATGTTAAGTAATTGAAAAATAAGAAAAAGAAAAAACCGTTACGCGGCGACCTACCCCTCAGCATTAAGCACTGGGAACTTAAAAAGCAGAAAACAAAAATCAAATGCAATCAACAAAAATATTCCCACCCATTTTAACCTCAGCAGTCGAAAGTTGAAGTCGCAAACGAGAAAAAGAAATACGCCAAGAAATTCCCATGCAAAGTCTGGTTTCATTCATAGGACAACCCCTTGGAGCAGCAACCCCTAAGAAACTACCCAAAACAAAAAACCAAACAAAAGGTGCAATGCCGAGGGAAAAACCCCGTAAAGCCGGGCCCGTGCCGATATTTTGGTGCGCAGGTAAAGACTACGGCGAATTTCTTAAGACGTTGCGCATGTCTTGAGACAAATCAGGGCAGGGATGGACGGGCAGGGTTAGGGGGTAGTTGCTTAAGCACGAGCAGCCGAAGGGACAGCTGCTAAGTCAGTGAGCGATGTGCGTATGTGTGTGTGTGTCGGTGTGATTGTGTGTTTTGTGTTAGGGGCTGAAATCAAAATCCAGGTGAACTATTGTCCTGTCGCGTGGATAGTTGCAGATGTGCCTCGCATTTGGCGCGAAAATCGAAGCGCAGCTCTTAACTGCAGAATACTGCAGGACCCTCAGTTGTGCCGCACCGAGCACTGAAGCCGTTGCCAGCTGTCGTTTCAGTTTTCTGACTTCTAATAAATATATATCTATTTATTTATTATTTCTCCTTTTTTTTTTTTGGCAACTTCTTGCGCTCCCAGGCAACAACTGACAAGCAAATATTGCAAATGCAAATGGGAAATACATTTTTGTGAATACCCTTGTGGATGGTATAATGTATTGATATTTTTGATCAGTATTAACAGCCGAGTTGATTTTTGTTTCTATGCAAACTAGTCTCTCGGCTCTAAAGCTTTCGTCATGAATATGATCAGATCACTATGTAATATGGCTTCCATAGGAATTATCTAAAGCAAATTTAGCTCTGTTTCTTGATTCAACTTGGAATTAATGACGCCCTTACTCAGACTACTCTATCATACAGATCTAACAGACTATGTATTGAGTGTAAATATTTTCGGTTCGTAGGATATTCTGACCAAGGCTTCACTGTGCTCCTTACATACAAGGGTATTAACTTTTTGCTTGCCGAAAATAGCCGTTCTTTCTCGTAGTTGTTTTTTGGGGCGGGCTTCAACGGGGCTGGGAGCGCATTGCATGTGCTGGGGCGTCAGTTGGTGCGATTTCTTGAGTGCAAGTCAAGGATTCGACAGTTGGCAATCGGATTGAATTGGAATTTCTGTTGAAAGTGCCTGACAGATATAGATACTATAGTATATATACACACGATACTAAACGAAAACGTAAATGAAATCATAAAAATGAATGCTGCTTGAAAAAAGTTACACATAATTTGAGAGTGAGAGAGACAGATATCACAGTTACTTATAGAGGTATTATAAATATATAGAGATTAGTGTAGGTGGGCGTGTGTGGAGGCGTGTGCAACTTACCGAAAATTCGAGAACCATTTCACCAATTGTGCTGTATTATTTTTGTTGAACTTTATATCCGGAAAGTACATCTTGAGCACCGCTGAGCTCGGGTACCGCACCCAGAAGAACATCAGCTTGGCCTTGCGCAGGTGCATCGGTGTCAATGTAGAAGAGTGCAGAGGAGTCAAGGATTCGCAATGATTGCTAAATGTATATATATCGTATATAATATGGTATATGGTTATTATAGTCAATGCAGTTTCCACCCAAGGAAGTTTCCACGTTCGTGCCAAGTGTGTGGGTGGGGGGCAGAGCCAAAGAGTTGACGAAGGGGCATGTCTAACTTTGCTGTTGCACTTTCGAGTGTTGCAAAGGCAGCAATAAATGCCAATAATGAACATCTAAGGGCGTCGTGTAGTCTAATGCGGGAGGGGAGCAGGAAGGGGGGTCGGGTGCTGTGGAATGGGGCGCTGAGCTTGCCACTTGGCGTTGGCTGATTGAAAACACAAAACTGCGAGAACAGAGAAAAATGACAAGCAGCCAGTTGCAACGAAATTTGATTGCCCTACAAATTGCTTAAGACCGAAGCTAACTATTCGAAAAGCTAAAAATTGGAGAACTCCAAAACAGAAGCTATGCTAATATATATAGATAATAAGATTCCTTATAATAAAGAGGAAATTAGAGAAAATCTAGTGTAAAATACAGGACGTACTATTGAAAATATAGTATTATTAAAAAATTAAATACATTTTTAATAATAAAACTGTTTAATGGAAATCTAGAAAAGTTTAAAGGAAACGCCCTGCCCCTCTCTGTGAAGAGTAAATCGAATTCTGTTGTAGTGAATCATTTAATATATTTGTTGTCTTCTGTTTTCAAGGAGATTCGATCCGTAAACTTCGTGCACAGACGCTTGAATTTATAACATAATTGTCATACCTCACACAGTAAAGAGCATATTGAGAATGAATTCAGGCTGTTGTTAGTGCGCTGCTTAGTGGGGTCTCCGTAGGGGTGGGTTGCGGGGGAGGCAACACTTGGAGCACATTGCAATTGGCTGTGCCGATTGGGCATTGATTTTTTTTGCTAGTTGCTGTTGCTGCGATTGCAAATGCAACTCAAGCCAAGAGGCGGTCGAGACCGAGACGATGTTGACTTGAGGGTTCCTCGCTGAGGTTTGAATGTGGGGTTGGGTGGTCGTTGGATTGGTTAGCTGTTTGTTGCTGTGTCGTTTGGGGCGTTGCAATAAATAAGGTTTTGATTACATTTTATAAAAGAATTTAGTTTAAATGGGAAATAAATAAACTGAAGAAGACACTTGATTGGTTTCGTTTTGTAAGCAAGGCCCCTTTGATTGCGTTCAGGTAAATGTACTTAAGTCCGTTTCCCCATTGCAAGCCAATTGCTCTGCACCACTTGGCACTGTGTGGACTAGATGGGTTAAACTCACTTGACCATTGGCACTGAGTGCCCTCCGGATAGCTGCGATTGTTGTTGTTTTAAAAAGGATATAGTAGGCTGCATGCCATCGAATGTCATGTCGGCCGAGTTACACTCGGACTGCCGATCCTGGGCATCCATGACGGCTCGCAGGCAGGTCTTGTAGTCCGGTGAGCCGCCATGGTGGGCAGCTGCCAAAAGAGCGGGATGGAGCATCGTTGGCGGATGTGGCAGTGGCGGTGAGTCGCGCGAATCCATCAATGCGCCCAGGCTGCCTGGCGGACTCGATGAAAGCTGCATCTGATGGTGGTGCTGGTGGTGCAACTGTGCAGCTGTGGGCTGACCGCCATGCGGACCGTGTGGACCCGGCGCCGCATGCGGATTGAAGAATGGACTGTACGGCGAAAAGACTTTAGATTCGTGCAGCGATGGATTTGGTATAGCCACCGAGGTGGGCAAAGACACTGGCATCATGGGTGGTGGTGGTGGTGGTGGTGGATGATATGTGCCTGCGGCTTGGCCGCGACCCGTTGGGCTCTGTGCGGGCGTTGAATTGTTGTTGTTGCTGCTGCCACTGCTGCTCTGCTGCTGTTGCTGTTGCTGCTGCTGTTGCTGCTGTTGTTGTTGCTGTGCGGCAGCAACTGCTGCGGCAGCTGCCTGTCCACTAGGCGGCACAACGCCATCCTGAGCCAATATACGGCTGACGGTACGCGGCGTGATGCGTGTATCGGTGACCTTATGTCGTTTCTTCTTGGGTGTCACCACCAGGCTCAAGGCCTCATTTTGCTCCAGCTGTTGTTGGGTCTGTTGGGCGCTCTGATGCTGCTGTTGCACGGCCTGTTGCTGTTGCTGCTGTGCGGCCTGTTGCTGCTGCTGCTGTGCGGCCTGTTGCTGTTGATCGGGCGGCAGACAGAAGGGACTTGCCATCGAATTGTAGAGCGCAGCCGCAGCTACCGGATTCATACCCTGGGGCGTTTTGGGCGCCTGAAACATGGCCGCCGCTGTGGGCGAGGGACGTATGTGAGGTGGTGGTATATTAAGTGAACTTAAGCTATTGTTAGTTGCATTCGTTTGGTTAACAGTATTGACCGCATTGCCGCCAGCAACAGCCGCCTCGCTAGCCTGTTGCTGCTGTTGCTGTTGCTGCTGCTGCTGCATGGCAGCTGCGGCGGCAGCATGATGCATTTGCAGGCCCATGGCGGCGGCAGCAGCGGCCGCGGGTGAGGCAAACGACAATTGATTGCCATTGAGACGGGGAGCAGCAATCAGCTGCTGACAATTTGGCAATTGCTGCTGTGCAGCTGCCATGGCAGACATTACTTGCGATTGATTTAGGGCATGTTGCGGCTGTGGCGGCTGTTGTTGCTGCTGTTGCTGCTGCTGCTGCTGTTGGTGCTGCTGAGCGGTCTGTTGTTGCTGCTGCTGCTGTGCAAGTTGCTGCTGTTGTTGCTGCTGCTGCTGCTGCTGGTGCTGCTGCTGATTTGCATTGACAGCACTGCTGCTGTTGCCCTGACCCTGACTCGCCTGCTGACTATTAGCTAATAGTATTGAACCATTATTACCTGATTGTGTTGCTGGCGTCGGACCGTTCTGGGCGCCCGGATTGCCGCTGTGTCCGCGATCGGCGACGACTTTGGTGCGCGGCGATTTGCGATCGAGTATCTGGGATGCCAGCATCAGATCCTTGTTGAGCTGCTCGGCGGCCGCCGTTACCGAATCCGCCTGTTTGCTGAACAGGCGACGCTGATGCACGAAACGTGTGACAATTGTGTCCACCAGAGCGGACAGCGATGTGGTTATTTCTGATTTGAGCACATCGGCCAGGCCCTCCAAATCGGTGCCGGACATGCGCATCATGGAGCTGTTATTATTGCTGTTGTTGTTGTTGTTGTTGCTGCTGTTGTTGCTGCTGCTGTTGTGCTGGCGCAGCATTTGAAACTTCTCGGATAGCTCGGACTTGAGTACACTATGTGCGGCAGCAGCAGCAGCAGCTGCAGCGCCGCCCATGCGTGTGGGCAGGCGGGCGGGCGGATGCAGCTGAACGCGTGGCACAGCAGCGGCAACATGATGCTCCAGCTGCTGCTGCTGTTGCTGCAACTGTTGCAAATGTTGCTGCTGGCGATGCAGCTGCTGCTGTTGCTCTTCCTTGCGTCGCTGCTGCTCCTGCTCCTGCTCGTAACGACGCTGCTGTTCCTGTTGCTGTTGCTGTTGTTGCTGCTGTTGCTGCTGTTGCTGTTGTTGCTGCTGCTGCTGTTGCTCGGCAGCTTCTTTTGCCATGCGCGCCTCCTGCTCGAAGAAGAATTGCTGGTACATGGCAGCCGCATGCGACATGTCGCCCATGTGCTGCAGCAGTGGCGGAAAGCCCTGGGGCAGTGCTGGATGCGCCACGCCCACCAGCGGATTATGCTGATGCTGCAGCTTGCTGGACATCATTTTGGACATCATCTGTGTGAGCATATTGGGCGTGGTGGCAGCAACATTGTCGCTGCTGCTCTTGTTGCTGCTGCTGCTCTGTGGCTTCAACGTGGGCGAACTGGAGCCGGCACGTTCCGCTGACTCCTTGGGCGTGGATTCGGTGAGCGTGGGCGAGTGGGAGAGCTCGATGTCATCGTTTTGTTGCTGCAACGGCTCTGGCTCCTGCTCCTGTTCTTGTTCCTGCTCCATGCTGTCCATGTCCTGTTCGTGGTCGTTGTCCAGCTCCTGGCACTCGGACTCCTGCTCCATGCGCGTGCACAGCTGTACATATTTCTGCTGCATCTCGGCCAGCTGCTCCTGCATGGAGCGCAGCTGCGACTTCAGCGCATTCTTCTCCACGCGCTTCTGCTGTATCTGGGGCGATTCCAGCTCATTGGACTCGCTGTCCTCCTGGTCGAGCATCATGCTCTGCAGATTCAGGCCAAAATTGAGACCCGCCGCCGCGGCCACATATCGCTCCATGGCGTGCTGTTGGGGCTGATACAGCTTGCGCTTCTTGCAGCCATTCACCTGCAATTGGCCAGCCTGGGCCGTTGCGGAGGGACTGCAGCGCATGCTGGACACAATGTGTTCGACGCGGGCACGCTTCAGCTCCATGCCGGGTTTCTTGAGGCAGTTGGAGCTGCTGGTGTTGGACTCACGTTTTGTCTCAATGCAATCATCGTCGTCATCATCGTCGTCCTCGTCATCCTCGATAATGTCATCGTTGTCCAGCACCTCGTCCTTGCTGTTGTCCAGCAGCAACATGTCCGAGTGACTGGGCGATGCCAGCGATTCCAGATCAGAGTTGCGCGAATGCCCATGGCCAGCCAGGCCCAACAGCTCCACATCGTCCAGCATATCATCCACGGCTTCCTTTTTCGTCGGCAGCGCCTCATTCTGGAGCTGTGGCTCAACTGTTGTCGCGGGCGTGGCACGCTCCTCTCGCGGCATGCTGTCCAGTGAATCGGAGGATTTGCGTCTCAGGCTGCCATTGCTTGCGATGCTGTTGCTGCTGCTGTTGTGGCTGTGGCTGTGGCTGCTGCTGCTGTTGCTGCTGTGGCTGTGGCTGCTGCCGCCGTGTGGGGAATGGGGCGCCTGTGTTGCTGTTGCCATCAGTTCAGGCTCACTTTTGATTTTAATCTCTGGCATTTCGCTGTCTTCAATCAAATTGATGCTCTCAGAGACGACGTTGTTGTTGTTGTTGGTGGTAGTGTTGTTATTGAGCTTGGAGTGCAGCTCCTGTTGGTGTTTCTCATGATGTTGCTGCTGCTGCTGCTGTTGTTGCTGCTGCTGTTGCTGCATGGCCGTGCGCAGCTCCTGATCGAGCTGCATCAGCTCCTTCTTGCCTTGCAGTATATTGCGCAGCATGTGATGTGCCACCAAATCGTGCTGCAGTTGGTGCTGCTCGTTGGTGTTGCTGGCGCCACCATTCAACGAACTTACCGAAGCCGCGCGTGGGGGCGAGCCACCGGCAACATCTGCTGCTGTTGTTGTTGCTGCTACTGCAAGATTACCATCCAGCGAGCGATCGCTGCAGTTGGACACACGCCGACTGCTGCCACCTTTGGGAGTGGACGAGTGCGCCGATCCTGGCGATATAGAAGCATTGTTGTTGTTGTTGTTATTGTTGTTATTGCCGTTGCTGAGTGGCGTATTGTTGTTGTTGTTATTATTATTATTGAGCAATTTGCTGGTACTTAAACTGCTGACCAGCCCAGCAGCGCTCAGCAGATCGGCACTGGTGGCCGTCTCCATGGCCGCTGCCAACATGGCATTGTCGAGACTCTGTGGCAGCCCACTGGTGGCATCCTGCGCCTGCTTCATTTGCCGCCCGAACAGCTCGTTTAACATTTTCGCCGAGGAGCCGCCAAATAGATTGCCAAAGGCTGCGCTGAGCAGCGATGATGCCGAATTAACGGAGCCCGGCGAACTGGAGCCGGATAAAGCAGTTGCTGTTGTTGCTGCTGCTGTTGTGGCAATTGTTGCTGCCGTTGGGCTTTGGTTTGAGCTGCTCGTGATGTTGCTGTTATTGTTATTGCTGTTGTTATTGTTGGTTATGTTGATGTTGTTAGTGTAGAGTGCACCACCAGCGGCACCCGCAGCAGCCGCAGCAGCGCTACTCATGAAGGCAGCGGTTGCCGTTGCGCCGCCGTTGCTGCAGCTGTTATTGTTAACACTATTACAAACACTGTTACTATTCAAATTACTGTTACTATTACTAATATTGTTACTGTCTTTGCTCAAGGATCGCGTGCGCGTGCGACGATTTCTCACTAAGTTCGAGTTCGAGTTAATGTTGCTACTGTTACAATTGCTGGCAACTTTGGTTGATGTTGTCGCTGTAGTCAACAGTTTTTTAGCCGCGCACGTTGTTGTCTTGCCGACGGCCGTAGACTGACTGATTTGTCGTTTGAGTGCGTTACGGCGACTACTACGACTGCGACTGCGACTGCGGCGGTTACTGTTGGTTGGTGCTGCCGCTGCTATCGCGGTCGCCTTGCTGTTGTTGCCTTCGATTACGACGACGTCGTCCGAGTCGGAGTCGCCTTCGTCGTTACCGTCGTCGTCCGAGTCGCTGGCTTTGCCTTTGCAATGCTTCTCCGCTTCGCTAACGTTTTCGCCACAGTTCGCCGCGTCGTCGTTACCGTTTGTCTGTGTTGGTGTTGTGCGACCGTTGCCGCTGCCGTTGCCGCTGCCGTTGCCGTTGCTTGCCTGCAGTGGCTGCGGCGTTGGTGGTGGTGGCAGCGCAATTGCTACGCTCTTTGCCTGTTGTGGGGGTTGCAGCTTACACTCAGCCTCTGTCTCCAATGTGGTTGCCGTTGCCTTTAGCAGAACATCGTTCTCATCGCTGTACAAACCAAAACAGTCCGCGTCGTACTCCTCTGATGACATCATAAGATGATGCCAAACAGCAGCAGCAGCGCGCGCTCGCCTCTCCACGTTGGCTCTCCGTTGCCTTTGCAGCGTTGCTCTCTTGCACTTTCGATTGCGCTCTCACAGCGTCAGGCACACACATGCAGCAGGCCACTTCTCCTGTTAGCTAATGCGAGAGCGTTTACTTCGCCTTGGCTTCGATTGGTTGTTGGCGATGTTGTCGGCGTGTCGTGGCCGGCTTTCTCCTGCTCTTCTCCTTAACTTAGTGTAGTAATTCGCCGCAGTAGCGCTCAATCGGCGTATGCGTAATTTCAAGTTTAAGTCCACTCGGTTGTCCGATCTGTAACCCGTTTCTTTATCGTTTAGCTGGTTGTTTGTAAGTCCGAGATGTCGTTGGCTGTGTGTGTTTGTGTGTGCGTGTACGTGTGTGCGTATTTGCTATGCTTCAAAACTTAGTAGCTAGCCCGAACTACTAATTCTTCTGGTTACTTATCCTTGTAACGGGCTCGCTCTCTCTCTTTCTCTCCCTCGCTTTCGCTGTCTCCGTTTAGTTGCGCCAAACGTTGAAATTTTGCTTTCGCTCAACTTGTTTGTCGAAATGTTACAATTCAAAATTGCTCGCGATGTTGTTGACAGTTTGTTGCAGTTGCAGTTGCTGTTGTTGCTGTTGCTGTTGATTTTGCGTCTACGTTTTCTACGTTTTTTTCTGCGTTTTCTAATTGTGAATTTTGTTTTGAATTTTCTTTCCACCACCACACACATGCGAATGTCCTTTGCATTTAATGTTATTTAAATTTGTGTTGATTTTATTTTCTCTTCTTGTTTAGGTCTTCGTTTAATTTTTTATTTATTTTGTTTTTCTTTATTTGGTTCGTCGTTAGGTTTCGCTTTGATATATAATTCTCTAAAAGTGTTTTTCGGCTTCTTTTGTCGAGAACTTGCGTTGAAATTTGTTCGTTTTCGTAATTTTTGTTTTTGTTTTTGCTTTAGCTTTCTTTATGTTGTTATCTTGAATAATCCTTGCTTGCGCTCAAAAAGTGTTTCTGTGAATATAGAAGATGAAGTCACAAAACTTTGCTAAATAAAAATACCGAATTTTTTTACATAAACAAGCAATTTAATTGCGAAAAGCAGCAGGAGTTGGTTGCTCTGTCGAGAGGGAGGTGGTAGGGGGCTGCCAGAATGCTGGGCTGCGGACTGGGTGGGTGTTTAAATGGAAAGTAAAAGTGGCGCGCCAGAAGCTTTTGGTTTGGGTGGCCACTTGATTGGTTGGTGCTCGGTTACTGCTGGGGGTTGACTCTGTTCGCCTGACCTTTGCCTTTGCTCATCTGTCTGGGCGGGTGAGAATTAGCTGCAAGCTGTGTGTGCGTATGTTGGTGTTTTTGTGAGTGTTTGTATATGCGTGTGTGTGTGCTCTGCTTGGTCCTTAATTCAGCTAAAGCCAACCCTTCGGCCGCTTTACAATGCGACAGGTTTTTATCTTATTTCTCCACTTGAGCTTATTTAAATGGCAACTTCTTTTTGTGTCTGTGTGCTACACCCCTTTCCCCTCATCCACCCAATTATCATATCTACCACAAACGTGAACAATAAATAGAGATAACGTGTGTTATATTTATGCTGATAAACAAGTTTGACTTACTTTCGGTATAGCCACAGATACTTTTATGTAGATACACAGATACTTTTGCATATGCCCAACGAAGCGAATGCGTAAGCATATCAAAATAATCAATAAGAGAACTTTGGAACTGGGAAACTTTGTGCCAGTACAAAATGCTTCAAACTGACACTGATTGAGGGGCGTTTCTAGTTTCGAATTTTGTATCTAAAAGTAGATGGTTCCGATATCTACATGATGAATAAATTAATCGCTTATATATATGAGCTTAAGACTTTGTTCTCACCTCTGGAGAGTGCTAAAATCTACGAGATTTTTTATTCTGATTTGGCGCAAATGCTAATACGGGAATACTTAAGTTGTTCATCTTAGATAAATAATTATAATATTTTTTTATAAGCTTGTACGAGTTGTTTACTAAACTACAAATGAAGCCTCAGCTAGGATTCTTGTGATCTTGTGAAATATGTGTCTTAATATTTCGTCAAATAGATTAGCTTATTGTTTATTTCTTGTTGGCTATTACATAAACAATATACAAAACTTTATATTAAAATGGGGAAAAACCTACTATAAGTTTTGTTAGCTAACTAGGAGAAAAACAATTAATAAAAGTATTTTATAAGCAAAACAAAATATTATAAGTTATTAAAAATAAGTTTCTTTTTGCAAATTCAAATTAGTAGCACTTTTCTAATGCTTAAACATTATGTTTGACTAAATTTAAAAAAAATTAATTAAGTTAACTATTTAATAATAACATTTCCTACCTCTAGTAAATTGATTTACATCCTTAATTCGTTTGTTAAGCTCTTAAAAAAAAATAACTTAGCGATTCAGACTTTTCTAACTTTCTGTTAACTGACAACTTATGGTTTAACTGTAGATGGAGAAAGCGGGTCTTACTCATGGTACTAGTGGTTGGATGTATATGTATAAATGCGATATGCAGTTTTCCAAGAACCGAATCCTCCCCTACGGGAGGCGCCGTTTTAAAGCATTGCCATGACAACAAAGTCGCAGTTGCCATCTAATTGCATTGGAATGCAGTTCTCGAGGCGAGCAGAGCAACCAACCCGCCCGTTGCCTGTGGCCCGTTGCCCAAGTCAATGTCAACAAAAACTACGTCCAGCCCACCCCTATGTGTGCTGTGCCCCTTGCCTAAGCCCGTGTCCTGGTTCTTCGAAGGGACTGTACTTGGCGAGCGTGCAGCTTGCAAGGCATCGGCAAGAGCCACCCCTATATGTAGGTATATATCAAGGATCTAACTTGGGATTGGGATAGGAGCAGCAGAAATACCGGTGCAGATCTCTAGACTAGAAATACGCGTCAATATATATTATAGTAGCATATTTACCACAAACAAAGCGTTATTATTTTTCTCCGTCGTTCATCATAGATCCTCCTGTAATAGATGCAAAAACAAAATGAATATTGATTAACACAAAATACAATATATAAAAATATTTAACTAAGTATCCTATTTAAAGTTCAATGCACCTAGTGCAAACGTTGTCTTCGGTTGCTCAATCGATCTATGGCCGCACTATCAACCCTCAGAGCGCGACCCAAATGTACCATATGGCCCCTTTCATAGTTTAGATAGTACACTAAGGATCAAAGTAAGTTGCTTCGCTATGAACTTCCCACCTACATACAACAGACAAACATCAAGCGACAGCAGCGCAGATAATTACGACCTTTACACATTTCTATAGACACCCTGCCGTAGAGTTTTTCAAAGGACTGGCCAGGCAAGGCAGCAAAGAGAGTGCCCCTGTTTCAGTTTTCTTTAGGATTTTAAGGTTAGGGTATTTACGCAAAGAAAAGGTTTAAATAAATGGAATAGAAGTAAAAAAGCTCGGCATGGAAATTTTTTAATTTCGAAATTCAAAATTGCTTTTATTATTTTATAACAATATCTAAAAAATGTTAGCCAAATTATTGATTTCTAGAATTATTGAACCAACAATTATCTATGAAATTATAATATATTTAAAATGATTGACAATATATTAAATTGACAATATATTAATATATTTTGTGGGTGTTGATCACTTAATAATTAAAATAAAATTGTTATGATTTTACAGTTATAATATTATTAATTTTATTCTTATATTGCATATTTTTGTATGTAAAAAAAAAATTTAATATATTTGCAGCATTCCCTTTAAAGAGTACCAGAAATGTCTGCTTCTTTTTAATGTCGTTTTAAATTTTAGTTTTTGTTTTTCTGTTCAAAGTTGAGCTCTATAAAATGTTTACATACTTTGCATGTACACACACACGCACACAGACAATTTCGATAGTGTGTATGTGTCGTGCACAGGGCGAATGTCTCTCAAAGCGTGCTTTGGAATGTGCCTTCACAGATCGCGGCACACGGTAATGTAACCATCATATCTGCCTGCCGCCTGCTACCTACAAAATGTATAAAGTGTGGCACGGCCATGTGTTCTCCTTCCACTCCTCTCCTTGCTCATTTGCTTTTGTTGTTGTTGTTGTTATTTTGGCCGGGTGTCATCATTAAAATATGCTTTGGCTCAAGTTGGGCCGGCTGGCTAACTGGCCGGCCGACTGGCTGGTTCGGCAAGCTGGCGACACTTGGACACAATTGCGTTACGGTCAACTGACTTTAAAATCCGTTAAAAAGTTTATGAAGCATTTGATGGGCCCAAAAATGATGACAGCCAATCGCCAAATTGATTCAAATATGACTATTTGAGAGTTGTATAAGATTTTTAGCAACAAGATATAGTATATATAGTACGACAGCAGCTTATACTAGCTGTTGTAACTGCCAGAAATCACAGCAAAAATGTAATGTAGAGAGACAAGCGATGGAGAGAGAGAGAGAGAGAGAGAGTTAGAGTGAGTGAGAAGGCTGGGCTGTTCATTCAACCCCCAGGCGACCCCTATGTGTGTGCGAGGCACAGCCCAGCACAGCTGATGATGATGATGATGATGATCGCAATCGTGATCGCATGACAGGCAACAAAAGCAACAACAATAAGTACGTGCCACAACTCGGCAGCCACGAGCCCAGTGCACACCTGGACACAAAGTGGGACTCAAACTCGGCTCCGGCTCCGGCTCCGACTCCGACTCGACTCGAATCGGTCTCGACTCGGTCTATGCCTCAATGCGCCTGCCCACAAGCTGACGACGATCGAAGGAAGCAAGCAGCGTGGCAAGGCGAACCAGAGGCAACCCAGAAGGGGCGTTTTGGCCTCTGCCTGGTGGTGGTTGACATTTGAAAATATAGAATGAACGCATGGGCTCCGATTTCGAAGCGTTACCTGAAAGAAATTCTCTAAATTCTCAAATATTGTTTGGGCTTTAGCGGAAGTTGTCGATCGTCAGCCAAAGGTTCGAAAAACACCTTTCAACTTGTTTGTGTGTAATTGCACAGCAAAAGCCTGTTACCCCTGGCCCCCCACAGAAATTGCTAATCCTGCACATTGGCATTATATTCGCAATGCTGGCAAAACTTTGCTGGCGGTTGTTTCCACTAGAACTGCCAAATGGCTGCAGCAACTTTGTGGCACAATTCAAGCGAAAATTATGCTTAAAGAAAATGTCCTTTATGGTTCGGGATTGTCGCAAAGATTTTAATGTTTATGGGAAAAGTTTTTGCGCAAAATTGGGCAAAAGGTTGCAATAAAATGCAATTATTTCGAGTTGGAGAGAATTGACAGGAGGTTTCCGTATACAAGTGGCTATTGCATCTGCTAGTCAAGCTGTTCGTCTGGGCTATAATTTATATATTTGTCATTTGTATTTTGTCCTGGGTTTCTTGGCTTGCAGCTAAGCGCAGTGATATGCTGATAAGATATATTGAGATAGCTTTGACTACATGAAAATACTTTTATAGCCGCGATACCAATTTAGTCGCCATATGGCGACTCTATAGATATCAATAACTTTCAACAGCTCTCAAGTGGAGCAACGCCAATAGTAGTAGTCACAGCCACATCTAGCTGGCTACACTGTGAGAAAATGTGCCACTTTAAGAGAAAAAATAAGATAATAGATGCATAATTAGCATGCTTGTGTTAAGCTGGCCGGCTGGAGATCATCGTTGGCTATTTTTTATATCAATAATAAACAACATAGAACAAGGTTTGCCAAAAAATGAGCTGCTATTTCTTTGACCTATTTATTTATCTATCATCACGAGGCGCAAACGCCTTGCACCCTTTTCAACGCTTTAATATGTTGAGAATTGCAAGCGTCATGAAAGGAAAAAGCTAAGCGAACTAAAAACTGCTAAAAATACTTGTTTATGCTATCGATCAATTATATTGTTATAAATATTTTGGACTAATATGCGTATTTTATAAAAACTTTTAATATAAATTAGTAAAGAAAATTATAAAAATGTAAAACTAATTGCTTAGCATTTCAAATTTTGCCTCAGATATTTGCAATTCACACAAATAAGTTTTTGGCCGTGTAGCCATTGCACTTAGCCAGCGCAAAGTTGCTGGCTACAGTTCGTATCTCCGCCGCCTCTCTTGCTCATTTCCCCCTTTAACTCTGCATACCAGTATCAATATCTACGAGGTATTTCTAGCTGCTCTTGTGGTAGTTGTTGTCGTTGTTGTTGTTATTGTTTTAGACATGAGCACTTTTTGTGGTCGCTGTTTGTCGTGGCTGTGTGTTGTTGGGTTTTATTGTCTTTCAGTGCTTGATTAGATAGCTGCCACACACATACACAAATTCACACACGCACACCATCACACGCACTGCTGTGCCTGTAAAAATGGCCATATGTGGCCAAGTTGTTTGGCATTGTGCTTGTTTGCAAAGGGCTGCAAAGTCCGGCAGCGTCGACTTTGTCGCTGCTTCTTGCCTGAATGTTTTGTTGCATAGCGGCAGGCGCCGTGGCGAGGCTTTTGTCTATTACCTGATGTCCGCCGCCGTGAATGTCCGTACAGTCTGTCTGTCCGGCCATCTATATATGACTGTCTGTTGGTTCGTGTCTGTTGCTTATCGCGCTTTTAATATCAAAAAATAAAAATAAAAAAATGCACGCCTAACGCGTGAGTGTGTGTGCATGTCCATATAGTCTCTCATGGTCTCATGCTACTCAGCTACGTTTAGTAGTTGCTACCTTTCGCGCTGCTATCTATGCAGATATCTTTCTCTGTCCGCCTGCCTAGGTATTGTACTACAGATACTATAAATATACATATGCATATATATGTGTATGTTGTGTGTGTGTGTGTGTGTGAGTGTGTGGCATTAAAAACATTTTCATTGTAATCAAGCGTACTTTCTTTTATTATTATTATTATTTGCCTCTCTGTCTAATGCTAACGACGCAAATTACTCAAATGTATCTGCCAGATACTTTTTATTTTCCACTGTCGTGTGCAACTCGCTCGCTTGCTTTTTTCTGCTCATATATTATTTATTGATCGCGATAAGCGTCACGAAGCCAATTTCAAGCGCACACCAAATGATAGAGAAACACTCCAACTCCTCCATGTGCCCCACCCAGCACACCTCAGTACAGCTAAGCTGATACCTGTGCCTTCCAGCTTTTGCTCATATTTCATATGGCAAACATGGTACAGTCACCGACTCACTGATTTATTTTTTTCCTTAACATCCGCTTTGGTGCGTGGCAGCCAGTTGTCCCCGCCGCTTCCCTCAATTAACTCACAATCAAAGGTAGCCCTACCTACCACGGCCTGGCCAGCTGCCAGATGCCGCTTCAGTGACTCAGTCACCCCACTCGGCAAGCGTCTTGAAGACGCTCTGGGAAAACAACTGTGAGCCGTTGCCTTCGCCACGTGCTGCATAAGCACGAAGCGTAAAGGAAAACCCAAGGCGAGGCGCACTCAATGGAACTGTAAGGCACACACCACCATAGACCCAGCTCTGTAGGAACTTATCGCCACCTTTTTACTAACTATATGCCTTATGCTCGCTTTTGTAACGTATTTTTCTTGTTTGAAACCCTTGCCGAGGCTATTACGAGCCAATATACTTAAAGTAATCATAATATAAATAAAGATGGCTAATTGCTTACTATTTTAGCAGCTGTAAACTCGCGGCTCGATAAGCTGCTTGCCTTTAGGTTCGGTTCATGAACCTAGTTTACCAACTCCTTAAACTTTGGTCTTATAAACAAATTTGGTTTTAGCTTTGGTTAATGGCATACAACAAATTCTGGATTCGGACTGGTCCAGTGTAAAACAGGGCTGTATACCTGATTAATAGTACTCAAAATACACCAAATACTTCCTTCTCTACCTATATCAAAGGATAAAAAGAATATTCTTGGTGTTTTCCAATACAAGACACCATTAGAAGGATGAAAATGGTTAAATATAGGGCTACTTTGTGAAATTGTATTTAATTGTATACGACAGAAACTAGACAGCATTAGAG